CCAAAAAAAAAAAAAAAAAAAAAGATCCTCCTGCCTCAGCCTCCTGAGTGCTGGAATTATAGGCATGAGCCAGCACGCTTAGATGAACCTACACATTTTCTAAAAAATTGCCATTCACTCTTCAATTTTGTATCACCTAATTTGGATCAACTATATTTCTATTCTGTCAGGTTCTTCCTGACTTCACTTCCTTCCCCGCCTGCCCTAGAGTCCAGGGATGTTTTTAACATACTATCACACCCGCAGTTATCTTTGTCTTTTGGTCTTTGGTCCCAGGCAACTCATCACTTCATAGTTGTAGATTAAGCTAAATTTTATTTGTTCACTCCAGAAGTATTTATTGGCTAGGTGTGGTTGTGATGCTTGTAATCCCAGCACTTGGTAGGCTGAGGCAGGAGGATCACCACAAGTTTGAGGCCAGCCTCGTCACTGCCTTTTGTAGACTGCCTTTTTTGGTCCTGGGGATGGAACTCCGGGCCTTCACACTGAGCTATACCCCTCGTTCTTTTTTATTTTTATTTTTTAATTTTGATAGTCACTAAATTGCCCTGGCTGGGCTGGAACTAGTGATGCTCTTGCCTCTCCTCCCGAGCGCTGGGATCACAGGTGTGCGCCGCCACACCCAGCCAAAGGAGACCCCGCAAAGGCTGTGACTCGGGCCTTTGTCCTCCTCTGTGTCTGTTCTATAAAGGCATGTCCTATCAACTGTCCTGCCTCTCTCCTTTATCGTTTCTTTCACTAAACAAGGTCATTTTCTTTAGCCTACAAATATGTTTGACCTCCTTTTTTTTTTTTTTTTACCTGGGATCGAACTCAGGACCTTGCGCTTGCGAGGCAGGTGGACCCACTGAGCTAAATCCCAGCCCTGCAAGTGGCCTCTTCTTCAGTCCTGATCTGAACATCTTCCTCTTGCCTTTCTGAGCACTCTTAACTTTCTGCCCCTTCGTACACTCCGAACCTATATACCGATCACTTTATGGGTGCCAGGCACAGGGCTACAGTTCTGGGAACAGAGCCATGAATAAGACGGAGCAAGCCACGATTCTCATGAAATTTACAGTGATGGGGACATAGGAGTCCACACAGTCAACAAAGAATCCGACTTCCATTGCCAGCAATAAAACAGATTAGGTACCCTAAATAATTATTCTGCTATAAAATTCCACCTCAAATATGAAACTCAAAACCAGAATCCAGGGCTGGGGCTGTAGCTCTGTGGCACTGCGCCTGCCTGGCAAGTACAAGATCCTGAGCTTGATCCTTGGTACTGGGTGGAAAAAAGCACGAATCCAAAAATGCACAGCTGAAATGGAGGTGACAGCTCCAGGAGCATCTGCCAGATCCCAGTGACACAGCATCAACCTCAGTGGTTTATCAGGGGACAAAGCCTGGGCTTATGCAAAAACTAGCTGAGTCAGGATCCCCATGTGCAAGAGCAGGGCTCAGGTGTGGTGCGACACATCTGTGACTGCAGCTCTCTGGGAGGCTGAGGCAGGAGGGCTGCATGTTCGAGCCCAGCCTGAACAACAACGTAGTGACTTACTGAGAACTCGAGTGAAAAAAAAGTGGGGGTTTGATGTTCAGGGATAGAGTGAAAGCTCTGCGGCACTGCGCCTGCCTGGCAAACACACGGTCCTGGGTTTGGAGCCAGTTCCAAGGCAGGAAGTGCCTGGTGTGCGGGACTCTGGTTGCAGAAGCTTCTCAGGTCCTGGCAGCCAGAGTGAAGGGAAGAGGTGGGGAGGAAGATGCACCCTCTCAGGTCGTGCCGCCTCTGAGCAGACCCTGCCTCCCAATAGCGAGCCAGTGGTACTGTGCTCACGATTCAGTCATCTTCCAAACGCCGAGCCTGGTAGGGACATTCTCCATCCACACCTAACGTTCTGTCCTTGACACACCCTGAAGACTTATGTGCATCTTTCTATGCAAAATGCGTTCAGTCCATCTCTAAAAGTCACCAAAGGTTTAACAGTCCAGGGGTGGCTGAAAAGTTTAACGTCCTCTGAGACTGACTCAAGGCAAACTCCTACATGTGAACCTCTGTAAACATCCAAGAGAGTCAAACACTGCTGACGGACAATGGCACAGATAAGCATTCCCACTGCAAAGGGAAAAAGAAAGAAATAGGACCACAGCTGGGATTACAGGCGTGCACCACCACGCCCGGCCCCGTGCCTATTTCTGATATCTGGGTGAAGACTTCCCTGAGCCCACAAGTTTTGCATTTGCATGCCTGTAAAAAAAAAAAAAAAAATCACCATGTGGATGATGCCAAGATCTGTCATCAGCTTGAGCAATAGCCAGGCCCCTGTGGATTGTGGCTGTAGAGGCTTCTGAATGCCTGAACCCTGTGAAAGGAATCGTGGGTAGTCAATTACAAAGGTGACCCTTCTCAAGCAGGGTGCTCTGGTGTTCTCTTCTCAAACTAAAGCTTTACAGCTTTACCTGGGCTCCACTCTCAATGAAAAACTGCCTAACTGGAAAGATAGACAATGAGGCAATGTCCCCAGCTGGCTCTCAGTCAGGGGAAAGAGGGGACCTTTCTTGGAATTCACAAGCTTGTCCTCTAATTTATATCCTAAACTCACACAATTTTAAATGGAAAAAGCTCAAGGCTAGAATTATCTCTCTCTTCCTCCTGCTTTCTCTTTTTCAGTGCTAAAGATCAAATGCAGGGCCTTGTGCATGCTAAGCAAGCACTCTGCCACCAAATTCCAGTTCCCAGATTTTTTTTTTTTTTAAACAGGGTCTCACTATGTAGTTGAAACTGACCTGGGTATGGAATTATGGGTAACCCTTTACTGCCTGTGACATTTTTTTCACTGAAAAACTGACCAAAGTTAAGGTCACACTTTTTTTTTTTTGGTTTTTTGAGACAGGATCTCACTATGTAGTTGAGGCTGACCTGGAACTCACAGTGTAGCCCAGACTGGTCTTGAACTCACAGTGATCCTCCTGCCTCAGCCTCCGGTGTGCTGGCATTACAGGTGTGCACCACCACACCCAAGATAGGTTTTTAAAGGAACAATTTCTAGAAATTTAAAATATAGTAATTCAAATACATGAACAAATAACTGCACATAATTAAAATTGTAACATATATTCTGTGAAGGAAAACAGAGTACCATGGCTTTATGTTGAAATCCTAATACCTTAAAAGTAATGTTTGGAGTCAGGATCCTTTTTTGGGCGGGGAACAGTGATCAAACTCAGGACCTTGTGCTTGGGAGGCAGGCACAGTGCCACTGAGATAAATCCCCTGCCCTGGGATCTTTAAAGAGGTAAGTAAAGTTAAAGGAGATCAAGAGAGTGAACCCCACACTGGGTGTGGTGGCACAAACCTGTATGTAATCCCAGCACTCAGGAGATTGAGGCCAGAGGATCATTGTGAATTCAAGGCCAGCCTGAGCTACATAATGCAGCCTTATCTCAAGGGAAAAAAGTGAATGAGCCCTAGGCTCCCCAGTATGGGGTGCGATGGGGGTGTGATTAGATTACAGACAGGTACAGAAGAAAAAGTACATACAGACACCTGGAATACAGGGCATCTACAAGAGCTCTCAGCAGCTTGATCTTGGGACCGCTAACCTCCCAAACTATAGGGAGATTAATTTCTGTTATTCCAGCCACTCAGTCTGCGGGATTTTGTTATGGCAGCACTAACAAATACACAGATTTAGCTCCAATTCTTTGATGATTTCTCTTTTTCTATCTACCCCTCAAATATTGGTATCCCTCACAGTTCTACAAAATCTTTTCCCTTTTTATGTCTATGTATTTATGACACTAGGAATTGAACCCAGGGCCTTTGCACCAAGTTACATACCCAGCTCTTTTCCCTTTCCCTTGAGACAGGATTTCACCAAGTATCTAAGGTGCCCAGGCTGGGTGCAAACTTGCTCAGTCCTCCTGCCTCAGCCTCCAGAATTACTGGGATTATAGCCGTGCACTGCCACACCTCGCAAGAGATCTCCCTGTCTCCCTCTCTAGGATTTCCCGAATTCAGATGCTAGCTACCATTTAAAAGTTGGCTGTAGATAAGTTCCTGAATCTATATTTAATTTTCCTTTTCTGTAAAAATGGGTATAATGATGTGTTGTGTATCTCAGAGTTGTCAGTTACCCAATAATGTTATCCTTTATTGCTTTCTACTTTGTGGAGGAACGAAGTGAGCTAGCCATACGTTTGCTTATTTTGTAGTCCTGGGGCCTTGAGCAGGCCAGCCCAGTGCTTCGCCCCTGAGCTATACCTCCAACCCGGGGGCTCACTACGTAGTGTAGGCCAGCCTTGGACTCCTGGCAATCCTGAACGCTGGGTTATAGGTGTACACCACCACACCCGGCAAATCCTGGGTTTCTGACTGCCTCTTTTTTTGTTTTGTTTTGTTTTTTTCCTGGTACTAGGGATTGAACTCAGGCAAGGCCAGCATGGAACCACTTAGCTAAATCCCTGGCCTTCTGACTGCCTCTTGGGTTCTATCTTAGTTACTTTTTGGTTGATGAGACAAAATACTGGACACCCAAAGTTAAAAGAGGAAAGGTTTATTTCAGCTCTTAGTTTGTAGAAGAGTCAGTCTGCAGTCAGCTGGCTCCGACAAGGTGGCCTGGCTGAGGGGCACGGAGGAGAAACAGTCCATGCCAGGCACAAAGGAGCGGCAAAGCAGCAGCCATGAGCCTCCCTTTCCGCTGTTGGTTCAGGCTAGTAGAGTAATAGCTGATGCCACCCACACCCAGGGTGGGAGCTTCCCACTGTCGGGCCCCAGAGTGACGCTAACACAGAGAACTTACTCAGTTATCACATCCTCGGTCCGGCCACCTCAGAAAAGCCCCTCCTATGAGTGCACGAGGCTTTGGGGCGACAACCAGATAAAGCCATGGCTCATGCACTGCTACAGGCTCAATGTGTACCATCATTCCCAACAAATGCTGCCTTCCAAATAGGGAGAGGGAGGGGGA